CCTGGACAAAAGGTGCTTTTCTCAGTTGTACATCCTCCTTTTTGCCTTATTTCCCCCCACAAACAAAGCCTATGCCGTTGTTTGGTCGCGCTCCCATCGCTGCCTCCCAACATCACACCTCCAGACCCAGCTGGCAGCAGCAGGCTGCGCTTTGTGGCAGGGCACATCTCTGGTAACCCAGCATAGCATCAGCAGGGCACAGAGGGAGCCAAGCCAACACAAGTGGGGTGAGCTGAGCCCGGAGCAGGAGCGTACCCACACAGCAGGCACCGGTGAGCCACTCCAAAGAGGTAGGGGAGCTGTTTTAAATGCAAAGAAAGCTTCCTGTAATTCCTGCAGCCTTCCTGGGCAAACAGTTGGATCCTCAGAAACATCCTCCTTCCCTGCAGCTTCTAGAAGCTTTATAGCCCTGATATTAAAAGGTTTGCACCTACCCTACCAATAGATATGTATTTTTGAAAGAAGCTTTAACGCGCAGACACGAGCGTCCCCACAGATCTAAAACAGAGTCATCTTAAATGGTTTCAGGCACCTCTGCCAACATGGGAAACCCTTAAAATAGTCTTTAAAGGGAGAACCCTCATGCCTGGAAGGCAGCTTTCCCTTTTTTCTCTGCAGCAACAGACATCGCAGCAGGACCACGGCTGAGCTGGGGCTGCCGAGCTGCCCTCCACACGTGGCACCTTCTCCTGCAGGGGTGCAGAGTTATGCACTTTCCTTGCAGTGCAAAAAACAGAAATAAATGCTAGAATGGTATTGGCTTGAGCTAGAATAAGCTCACACTAATTAAGATATTGTTTTTCATTTAGCTATCAACTAATGCAAGAAAGACAGGCTCGCCTGGAATAAAAGCAGGAGGGCAACGCATTGCCCAAAACAATACATCTCCATCCATTTGCTTTGCTTTGCAGGACTCAGTTTGGTAGCAGGACTCCAAGATGTTAATGGCACAGAACTGCAAAATCAGCCATTCCTGAAGACTTAACACACACAGTTACAAAGTTGGCTCTAGCATTTAACAAAAGGGAAGGGAAAGTAAGGCAGCTCTTCCTCAGAGGAAGCCAAAGGATCTTTCTCCAACAGCCCACAAGTGTTACAGCAGGTATTAATGGGCTTCTGCTGCAGTTGCCAGGAATGATAACCTTTCAGTTCTGCTCAATCACGGAGCCTGCACACAACATTCACTAATTATGTAAACATGACTGAGAAACTGCAAAAGCAAAGCCAATAGCACATTTTCTGCTTTGTACATTAGGCAAAGCACAGAATTTCATTAATTTCACAAAATAAACCCGTAATGAAGTGCTTCTGTTAAACACATTTCCATCTCTTTCACTGTTCAGCCTCAAACCACCACGATGCGTGCAGCGCAAGCATGCAAACGTAGCAAAGTATTACAGCACATCAGGCTACCCAGCAAAGCCTGAAAGCTACAGGTGTTCTATAGGAAAATGAGAGAAAATGAAGGAGCGTCAATTCTAAAAAGCACCTCAAAGTATGAGAAAAGCACCCACAGAAGCGGCGCCCCGCTGCTCGGGCAGCACGCAGCCAGCAGCGCTCAGTGCCCAGTGCCGCCTCCTGGGGCTCCCAGCCCCACCAGCTGGGTCCCTTACGGCCCTCAGACAACTCCCAAAGCCTTCTGCATCTCTGAGGAGATAGGAAATACCTCAATGTCAACTGGAAAGGAAGAATATCACCAACCTGCAAGCAAAGCAAAAATGCAAGACACAACCAGAGACACAAATGGGTGTGCAACTGAAGCCCACGAACACGGCGCTGCACCTTGACTTCCCACAGCAACAGCAGGCAGACTCAGCGGGGGAAACCCGGAATGCTGCTCTTAAAGGCTGAAACAAATGCATGCAAACATGGGGCTGCAGCAAGCACTGCCACTGCAGGAACACGGATGTCCCACAGCACAAGAGCTATGCTAAGGCACAGCTCTGCTCTTCTTTACATGTTAAAGAGTCACTGCACTAAAGAATGCTCAAATCGAGTTTTGCAACTGCACTTGTTTGCACGTTACCATGCAAAAACTAAGTATAAAACTTATAGAAAACTCAATGAAAAAACTGATCTTAGATATTCTATAGGAAAAATTGCCATTTCTTGCTTGACCCCTCAGGCCAAGCCTACAAACACCTGGCAGCTATAGCAGCATGCTGTGTATCGCGGCAGCTCCAGCTTGTCCCTTCAGAGAACATAAACACAGGATGCGGCCAGAAACAAAAGTGCTAAGTCATATTTTATATTTTGGGTGCTTAACTTTTTCGTCTTTCTTTGACTGTGCCATTAAGTGTTTACGAGGATGATTAATGGCCGCGGCTGCCAACCCCGTTAATGAATGGCATCTCTGCTCACAACCGCAATCCGTGCTTGGCAGGCGCGGCACGAAGGCAAGGTTACACCAACAGCCCCGGCCCCGCACCTGTCTGCGCTCCGAGGCAGCGGCGGGAACCTCGATAATCTGATCATTCTACACGAAGAAGCAGGATGAATTTCCTGCAGACAACATTTCTCGCTGCCTAAAGCGATTACCGGCTAATGAGCCCACGACCTCTGCCGCCTCCATTAGGGGACAAAGCGCAGACAAGAGCCAGCAGCAGGCGGCCCCGCAGCCCGTGGGGAAGGCCTGCTCCTCCGCTGGGACCAGAGCTGTGCAGCAGCTCCCTGCCGGCCGTGAGCAGAGCCCAGCGCTGCGCTCACAAGCGCTCGGATCGCAGAATGTTCTGGCGATTAACGGCTGCGTGAGGAATCGCACGAAGATCCCTCTCCATTCTCCTGAGCAAAATAAATAGAAGCTCGCAACTTCCACAGGCATCTCAAGAAATCTCAATCTATAATTAAACGACTTGGCTAGACTGATGATTGTGCATCGCGGGGAAAAAAATTAAACTGGAAGGAACACTTCCTTCTCTGCAAAATATAAAAACACCACGAACTTGATTTAAGAAGAGATGACATTTCGATATGGAAACATATTTCCATCAAACATTTTAGTTAAAACTGCATAATCGGACTCAAAGCAAACATCTCCATAACATGTTCTAAGCGTTAAGTGGTTGTAAATGCTCCATTTCTCTTGCTGCTCACCACATTATTTGGCTAAGCGTGAAGTCAACCACAACGTTCCCACTTCTCAGAGGATATTGTTCCTCCGCCCTAATTACCCAACCCAGAGCAACACACGACCATTATCCTCAATCTACAGATGAAAGTGCTCAGAAAAAGTTATTTGCCTGCGTTCCCATGGTGATGCCCTGGTGGAGGAAAGAACAAAACCCCAGCTGCTCCCTGACCTCTGCGCAGAGCGTTTGCAGCATCTCATTTGCAGATGTAACAAAAGCCATCAGCAGAGCCCAGGCCGGCAGGTTAACGTGCAACACGTGCCCTCTGAGCAGCACGTTAAGGAACACAGCCCATATACAGGCTGTGCTTGGAGCTCCTTGAAACACTGCCACGGAACGCAGCACAGCAAGCACAGGGAAGGAGCCCTGGCAGCCCCACGGCCTCCAGAGCTCAGAGTGCTCAGACAACGCTCCCAGACAGCTGGTCCTCACGTAGTCCTGTGCACAGCCAGCAGTTGGACTTGATGGTCCCCAGAGGTCCCTTCCAACATGGGACATCCTATGATTCCATGACCCTTGCTATCTGGGAGAGACCTTGCAAGGGGCACCGGTGGTGTTGAAATTAACACAAGGAATCTCTAAGTACCATTTCTACAAAACACGCTTTTTCCTTCAATGTTTCAAAACTTGTGCCCTCCCCAGCACACTGAGAACAACTGAGAACACCTGTGCAGTCAGATGAGAAATGTGTTCCCTCAGGAATCAACCACGAAACGCAGTCCAGCATTATTATTTGGTTATACCCTACGAAAATTCAACTTCTGTAACACTGAGCATTTCAAACTCCCAGGTGGGGGACAACAAAATCTCTAAGCTACGTTACCTTTCCCATATTCCTAACACAAACTGCCCAAGGCTTTCTGCAGGCATACGATTCTGCTGTTTTGCTCTGCCCTAATAAGGCCAAAAATCTCTGACCACAATGAAAGCTCTCTGCTTTCAGTAATGCAGGGGGAAAAACACCATCAACGTGCAGCACGTGCTGGAAGGGCCACCAGCAGCACTGACCCAAGCACAGGGCCAGCTCCCAGATTTTAGAAGAAAGAGATATGAGTGACAAACCTGATGCTTAAAGCACTTTTTTTTTAATGTGCTAGTTGATTACTTACAATTACTAGCAAACAATCCATCCAGAATTAAGGCATGAGATAAGCCTACACCAACAATATGCTGACAAGCATTTTACACTTTACCTCCTCCTGTGCAGGATGCTGAACTCTCCTGTGACCCATCTGACCCTTCCACCTTCCAACCCAGGGGAATAAAGGCAAGGGATCACAGACATATTTGGCCTGCCTACCCTTACCTTCGACGACCAGGCACCTGGATCTTAAGCAGTGACTTCATTTCAGTGAACACAAACGTGCTGGCTAGCAGGAGATATGCAAACTAATGCATTCAAAGTAACTGGATTCCAGTATAAAACGCCTGATTTCTCAAACTGCAAGCAACGTATTCCTCAGAATCCTGCTTTGCAAGAAAGAATGTGCACTGTCTTGGGTTTTGTTATTTTGTGTGTGTTTTTCTTTTTCAAACAGCCTGCACACATTCCCAATTGCAAGGCAGCACTGTTTAACAGTGCACCTAAGCATCAAATTTTAAACAATTTTGAAACACGTCCCTAAGATGATACAAAATTTGGCTCAGACAGGTGACACACACACGAGTAACAACTGCCATACCACTGATCAGCTCCCGTGTTTGTCTTCAAGCCTAGTTTAAAGCCCATTTTCAACATTTAATACGATTTGATTATTTAAACAACATGGTTCAGAGCAACTGAATTCAGATTCTGTAACTTATGCAGCACGTTGTCAAAAAACAACCCGCGAGGATAAAGAGGGACTGTTTGAGAACAGCAGAGTTAATTACCTCATTAGTGTTCCAGCGGTGCCTCTCCTTGGGTAAACTTGAGCATTTTGGTAGACATTCGAGCAACTTCTTCGGTAAAAAGATCTTTACATGACTGCCATTGCTGTTCCCATGATCATCTGGAAAGAAGAGAACACACGTGATATGCATGGAAGAGAACCTGTGGTTCCTGTTAGCAGATCCTAATCACAACCCGCCTCGGAAGTCCCCTGCTGCAGTCCTCAAAGAGCAGCAACGTGCAGCTGTAAGCACACAACTTCCTGTTGAATTCACCTTTATCTCAGAAATAAAAATACCATTTAATCCTGTATGGCTGCAAAGTTGAGAGCAGCTTTATGGACTTGCTCACAAGCAGACGTGTGCCTACCTGTGCCCAGCTCAGCTCACCGTTTCCCCCTGAGAGAATTCTTTACAAGCAGTAGTAACGAACCATTACAGAAGCTGTGAGCACGGCAATATGACCTGCCAGGAAAGGCATCAAGGAAGTCCACACTAGATGAGATTTGCAAGTAAATAACCACAGAGCTCCCCTACCTGCTATAATTTTGACGAGCTGCAGCAGAAATGCAACTCAAGGTCTATTAGTTTCTTTAAAACTCTAAGATGTGCTGCACCCGCTTGAAAACAGGTTACTTTTCTTTCCATGACAGCTCAGAAAGCAAACAGAGTTCCTCAAAACGAGAGGTAGAGGGATGAAAACCTTCCTGCCTCACGATGCCCAGGTGTCTCAATAGCATAAATACTGAAGAATGCAAAATGATCCTTTTTTTGCTGCTGAAGATGCAGACTGAAGGTGCACCGATGTCCCTTAAAAGCAAAGGCACCCAAACACCAAAGCCCTGACATCAGCCTGGCAGAGGTGAGCACCGACACTGGGACGCCTCCGCCATGCCTCCCGCAGCACCTGGGAACGGGAGTCCAGCAGTGAGGTGTGTGCACAGCCCAGCAGGGCAGCCGTGCTGCAACATAAGGGCCAGCAGCTCCTTTAAGCCTCCCCTCCTTCCCTTCCTCTGCCATTCTCACCTTTCTGGCTCACCACTGCCCAGAATCCCTCGGGAGGGATCTTCTGATTTGCATTTCACCCTACAAAATTAACGTAATCTCTCATTTGGAAATATATAGGAAAAAGACAATCAACTTCTTCCTTTTACACATCTCATCATTTTATGTCACTGAACAGATGCCAGCATCATGATAAAACTCCTTCCTAATGATGTACAGCACAGCAACTTGCTGTGACCTGTAGCCAACAAAAGGGAATCCAGGCAGCAATCATTTCAGAACGCAGAGCAAGAGCACAACCCGGAGCTGAGCACACCCGGTATTTTCAGAGCTTGATTATACTCTTAGATGTGTCAAGTTCAACAATATACATGCTGTTAAATCAACTACTCGTGCAAGCACAGCAGATGAGTTTACAAGATAAGCAGTGATGTGTATGATAAACGTGAGCTGTTCTCTAATTTACGAGCGCCGTGTGCCAGGAGCGATGGGAGCGCAGCGCACGGCAGCGGGGCTGGAGGCAGCGCCCAGGATGGGCCTGCAATGAAGGTCCCGCAGCACTGCTCACCTCCCCGCGGCTCCCAGCTCAGCCAGCAGCTGCTGAACATTCCTGATTTTGCATCCTTCTCATTTCTCATTCAAAATAGCGCTTTGCACTCCGTTCAATTCATTAGGAAGGCAAAGTATTTTACATCACACATTATTGCTTTTATCAGCCAAACCACATCCCCAGTTACATCTCATCAGCTTATTTTCCATAGGCACATTTTAATTGACATTAATTGTATTATTTCCCCTTACCTCCATATCAGTCAAGTCCTATATCATTCATTCCATTATTTTGCAAGGCTGGCAGACCTACAATTATTCAGCTCGCTTTATTAACTTTTTTCCACTGTCATCAGTTATCAGTATTAATAATCCAGAAATTGCCTATGGAGAGATCCCTTAAAATGTTTTGGTAGAAGTTTTCAGAACTTGCTGACTTTAAACCTTCAGCTCCTACTGTCAGTACCTCGCTCCTTCGCATGACAGCAGTGGAAGGTTCATCCTCTACACGACTGCCCTCCAAGCACCCCCTTCTTTGCGTTTCATAATGGCATTTCTTCACAACATTCCCAGCACTACCTCTGCCACCTCCCTCACCTGAGTCTGTCTGATGAACAATCTTCAAGCTGCATGGTCAGAAAGACACACAGTAATCACATTATGTGAAAGAATGTCAAATCTGATCATCCCTAAAACAGGTCTGACCTTGAAAAATGGCCCCCCAGCTACAAGGACCAAGCAAGAGAGTGGATCACCCCAAGTGATGCATGCATATCTGCTTTGAAAGCTCCCTTTCTATCCGGTGGAATTAATCAGGATAACCCCACACTGAAAATGGCTGTTCTGTGTCTTCCTAGTGTAATTTTGTGATCTGGACTTTGAATATAGAAATGTGTCACCTGGAAGTGCTGCTGATACAGCACAGGAGATGTAACACAACCGCTGCCGGATGTGTTCTGCCAGGAATGCCTCGAACCCTGTTTTGTCACCTCCAAATGGAGGACTGCAGACAAAATGGCAAGGCTTGGCACGGAGGACAAAGGCTGCTCCTCCGCTGTGCCCACCAGTGTTGGCAGACCTGACCCTTACCAGGTCTCCACCCCAATATTCGGCTCCCTTCCTTGCAGAGGGTTTTCATCAGAGGTCACAGAGGCAAACTGTGTCATTGCCACAGATAGCAAGAGTTAAATTCCTCCCAGCATCACTTTGCTACTCAGCTTCCTCACAACCACCACAATGCTTCCCTCTAAAACACAGTAGGGAAGTGGAACAAAGAAGAAAAGTCACAGACGTTGGGTTCAAAACAAACCCACCCTTTCGAGTTGGTGAACCCCCCCATCGCCCAAATACTTCTGATGAAGCTGAAGAATACGAATCACCACGAGTCAGCACTTGGGTCTGACCTGCACAGCAACTGGGCCATTCCAGAGGGAATATCCCACATTTGCTTAGGACTGTATTTCCCTCTGTAGTTAAAAAAAAAACAAACAAAGCAGCTGTAATTTCACAACACTTATTTGACTTCATGGTGGAAATCGGGCCAGATTTGTACCTGGAACTTTCATCCTACTATGATTTTTGCTACAGATGTGACTTACGACATTGTGATCTGCTAAACCATCCAGCGCCGACGAAAAGTGCTTCTGCAAGCAAAGCTGCACTCGCACATGGAGGATTTGCCAGTAAAGCTCTATCGATGCAGTATTTATTTATTTTTTAGTGTAAAGTTGGCCACAGCTCAAGAACGCTTCCCAGGGCACGCACAGCCGGCTCGGAAAATTACAATAAGGCAGGCATGGAGGCTGCTTCACTTCAGTGTAATGGATCTCGTTATAATTCCACACGAAACTCCAAGCCTTCAGTTCCATTTGCAGCGTTCAAGATTACTCATTAGCGAGCCAAAAACTCATGTGAAATTAAGAAAGTAAAACTATTATAAAGTTCATAGAAAGTTCCATATTAATTATAGCACATAAACCCTTCGTAACTTTATGGGTTTGTTCATGCTCCTTGCGCTTTATCCTCCCAGGGGATGCAACATGGGCCATAAAACTTTAACGCACGCAACAGCAAATCACAGCGAGCCTCTGTTCCGCCCCCACTCCCCAAACAACCCCCTCTGCTTCTCTTAACTGGATCTTAAATTTCCTGTGACCCAGGAAGGTGAATTTAGATCTCTGGGCCACTTAACGATCATAGTCTATCCACATAACACATCACTGGAGAATTCAGAAACGGCGGAACAGGCGTGGATCCAATGCCGATTTGCAGACACTTCGTACCGGATGTAAATATAAAGAATAAGCCCATAAAACCGCAAGCAGAAGTTTTATAAAGTCGCTTTTATGAAGTAATAACTCAGGTTGGCCGTTGGGTAAGCCACCCAACAGCAGAGGTGTCCCAGCACTGCCAACAGGTGGTTCTCCACAAACAGCTGCAGGGCTGCCATTCGCCACCTAAACGAACGGAGCTCAGGATGAGCAGAGCCGCCCTTCAGCCACCGCCGCCAGGAAGCAGAACCGCGGCTGCGCTGTGCAGTGGGAGCAGCCAGACCCACAGGGCAGCACTGAGCACACAGCGACCTGAGCTGCACTGACCCCAGCTGAGCAGCGGCTGCACGCAGCCAAGGATGTGCCTCGCTGCCAGCGCCGTGCCTCTCAGCCGGTCGGCATTTCCTCTTCCCAACAGCAAAACCAAACCAAATCTTCCTCTTCCAACAGCTTGCCTTCATTTTCCAATAGATTGCATGTGAATAAGATGAAACTAAAAGGGACCTGTATTCAGTCAGAAGAGATTGATGCAATTATTTTACGTTCTGCACGTATGGATGTTGATATTCGCTGGGTCCATCTATCCTGCACAAGTTGTGCTATATTGTTTCCACAAAAACCCACCTGTGACTTCCCTGGGTGGCAGCAAACAGAGCTCTGCTGGGTCTCCACATCAGACACAATGTATTCAGTGATTTTTCACAAGGGACAGATTGAGCTCTCAAGATTTGGAAACATACTTGGCAGGAAAAAAACCCAAAAGCCAAACACCCTCAATGCTACAATGCGACAAGAGCAGAAGGACGCCGGCTCTCCAGAGCTCTCCATGCCGGCTGTAGCAGCAGCATCACAGCGCCCGCAATCAGCCCCGCTCAGCACAGCCCCACGGCTGGCTGAGGACAGCCGCCCTGCCCCACAGCTGCAGCTCGAAGGGCTGAGCCAGCACTGCCGTCAGCCTGCAGGATTCAGAACAAGGCAGACGCAGCCCAAGGGCACAGGAAGCCACGAGACCCCCAAAATGAGAGGGAAAGGCCAACAAAACTCAGTGAGGTGAGGAGCAGCAAACACTGACGATGCACGAAGCTGGTGGAAGCATTTTAATTCAGAGGGCACCGCATTCCACAATGCTCTCTCCCAGCCTCGTTCCACTCCATGCAAAGTTTTTTCCCCTGCAGATATGTTTGGTTGATTGAAGCAGAGGGGACACCAACAAGGAAGGTCACATTCCTGCAGGCTGCCTGGGAAGCAGCAGCTCCTTCCTCCTCCCTGTCTCCTCCAGACAGGCCTTGGGATGGCTG